GGCTGTGGAGTGGAGCACGGAAGGAGTACTGGGGGCATGAGGGTAGGAGGTGGGAGGCAGTGTGCAGCAGTCAGGTGGTAGTGGCTGCCCCCGGGTGGAGGCGGGGTCGCGGGGAGGAGCAGGTGGGGTCAGGAACATGGGGGCCTCAGGGTCAAGGTCTAGGGGCTGTTCCTGCTCTCCTGCTCTCTGCAGGAGCACCTACTGCATGCCTGTCCTTTTTCCAGGGCCCAGGGCAGCCAGAGACACAGCCTTGGGGTGACGCCCAGAGAAAGGGACTCTCAGGCGACATGCTCCTGCAGCTATCTTATATGTCAGTAACAACATGGAGACTTTACCCCTTCAAGCTTGCAGAAGAATAAAGCCCCACTTTCCATGCCCTCTTCCTGTTGCCTGCTACTCTTCCCTAGAGTAAACCCATCTTGTTTCAATGCCACTGAAACCTCAGAGGATCTGGTCCCAATTAAATGACTTTCCTTGCAGATGCTTTGGTGAGCACTAAATGCTTGAGACCCAGTGATCCTGAGAAGGGGGTAGAGAAGGAAAAGGAGGTAAGGGGAGCACAGGGCCCCAAACCGGACAGGGGTGGCTGCGGATTGGGTGGTGGGTGCCAGTGGAGGGAGGACTGCAGCAGGGACCGGCCCATAGGGAGTAGGGCCATGGTCGGGATGGGGGCAGAGTAGGGGCCAGTTTCCCACCCTCCTTGCCCGTGTGAAATTCGAGTCCGTTCTCGCCCATAACATGGCTTCACTGGACTCCGTGCAGTGAAGCAGCCCCGCCCTGCCCCCTCCGGTGGGCTTCGAGGATCTTGGCAGGGGACGGAGGGCTAGGTGAGAAGGCCAGGCAGGGAGCCCCCTCCCCCGGCAGGCCTTCCTAGCGGCACACGTTCATGTTCCCATCCTGGCGCCCTGGCCTCCCGCTCCAGACGCATGTGACTCAGCCCCGCCGGCCTTGCCAAGCCGTCTAGACCCAAGCGTCTCCCCGCGGAGGGGGCGTTCCCGCCCGCCGCCGTTTCCTTTGCCTCCGCCTGGGCGGCTGCGCCCCGCGCACGTGCAGCCGCGCGCGCCCCCGTCCACCACCTCCCGCGAGCCGCGTTCACGCGCAGCCGCTCGCCCAAGCCGCGCCTCCGCCCCGGTCCCCGCTCCCCGCTCCCTCCCCTGCCTCATGCCTTGCGTCTACTGCATACACGCAGTGCCAGGGCAGAAGCGGGAAACCCAAAGGTCCCCAGGGCCCCAGTCCTTCCCCCTCATTTTTGGGGCCCGGGGCAGGAGGACAAGGATGGACTCTGAGCCACTGCCTCCCTGCCAGCCAGACTCTGTCCACATCCCCTACAACCACCTCTGGCCTCAGAGCAAGAGTTGCCCTGGGTTGCAGGCCCTGCCCTGCAGGATGTACTCTTGCAGGAGCCTGTGGCCTGGGGGGCAGGACAGGGCAGGTGATGGTGGCACCTCCAGGCCCACTGGAGATGATGGCGATGGTGACGGTGGTAGCATGTGGGCTGCACTGAAGAATGTGCTTGTCGGAGCTGGAGGCCTGGGGGCAGGATGGGGCAGGTGAGGGCCTCTCAACTTCAGGAGGCGAGGGTGGGCCCAGCAGAAGGACTAGAAGTGACAGGAAGAGGAAGCCAAGGTCCCAGGGCAGCCTCCCCATTCTCATATGGCACTAGACTCCAAAGATGAACACAGAGGCCGAGGAGAAGAACGTTCTAGAGTCAAGTCTTCAGGCAGCTCCCAGGTGGACACTGTGGTCCCTCCAGAGCTAATGCCACAGGTCGAGGGACTCCCCCAAGCTTACAGCCACTTTCTTGTCTCATTTGCAAGGCCCTCACCCCTGCTTTCCTGTTCTGCACCCCTTCCCCCATCTTCAAGGAAAGGGCTGGGTTTTGGGTGGGCTCATGGCTGGTGCAGATGGCGTGGGCTGCCCACAATACCTGGGTACTGAGCCCGCATACCAGGACGCAGGGTGGATGGGGGACCAACAGTTCAGCCTGGCAGCTTAGCAGCTGAGAGGTCCCAGGAAGAGAGGGAGGAGAGGAGGGGGAGGAGGAAGGGGGGGAAGAAGAGAGGGAGGAGGGGAGGGAGAAGAGGCAGAGGCATTCTCCCCCAAACCCAATGCCAGGCCCCTCCACTTGCTTCTCCCACGGGTGTGATCAGCTTCCCATCTTAGATCTGAACTCTCCCCCGAAACATCACACACGCACACACGTGTGCGCGCACACACACACACACACACACACACACACACACATACTTGCCTTGTCTTCAACAGCTTGCGTTTGGTGCTCTCCACCCTCACTGAGGAACTTTGGGGGGGGGTGAGTGAAGGAGGACACTTCAGTCCCTCAAGGGCTCCGCCCTAGGTTCCCTGGTTGAGGGCCGGAGCGGAAGTGGCCTGTGCAGCAAGGCTTTCCAGGGCTTTAGCTCCGACAGCATTCCAGGCCTAGCCCCCCAGGTGGGGCAGCTCCCCCTCGGGTCTCACTCCAGCCCATGCCGGAAGCAGACTCACCTCCCCAGAGAGGAAAGTCCTTGGACTTCGGCTTCCTTTGATCAGTGGTATCTTCGGCAGATTGAGGGGGCTGGCTGATTCCCACTGCGCCCTGGGGTCTGCCCTAAAGGTCATATGAACAGCAGGGCGCAGATTCTCTGAGGACTTTTTCAACAGCCTCCACAGGTCGGGGAGGCTGCCCATTCGGTGAGCACAACTGCTGGGCCATACACCGCTGGGCCACCACAGAAACTGAGGGTCTCAAACGCCTCCAGCGCCCGCCAGCCCATCTCTGGCATGGCGGGGCCAGTGCCTGTCAACTGGTCTCATTTTTCAGCCTGTTTTCCAAGCACTGACACACAGCTGAGGCCCTGCTGGGACGCACGGCCAAGTTTCCCCCATGACCAGGAGCTTGGCTGTCGCTGCGTGGGACACCCAGTTCTGCCCAGGACTCCCCAGCTTGCCCCCCACATCCACAGCTTCCCCCCATCCCTCCTGCACGTTAGTGGGTCCTTCAGCCACATTTTTGGCCCCTGCCCCACCCAGGCCTCCCTCATAGGCCCCGGGGGCTCTTGGTTGGAATGCCCCTTAGAGATGCGCCCCTCCCTCCCCCATGCTAGGACTCAACCCTCCACATCACGCCCACCCACCTCCCTGGGCTTATAGACCTCCTAGGACCAGGAGCCCTTCCCTCTCCAGGCAGCCACAGTTCAGACAGTGCTTTTTGGGAGGAGTGCTTTCTTGCATCGAGCTTGAGTCCACATTTCCAGAAGCTTTTACCTCTGGACCCCTCTCTTCCCTCCCCAGCCTCCAGCTTTTCCGGAGGAAGATGCCTGGGAGTTGCTATGATTCTGGTGGTGGGTGGCGGGTGGCGGGTGGCATGGGCAGGGAGGCCGCCGCCTGCTGCTGAGTCTTCCGCGACCATCTCCATGGGCTGAGAGCTGGCCATCTCCATGCAGGGGGATGCCTCCATCACCTCTCAAGATGGCCTCCTCTCAAGAACCTGCCAGTTCCTCAAGATCCCATAGACAGAACTGCTGAGGTGGGAGAGGCCTGTTTAGCATACAGACTCCATGGAGCTGGGTGGAGGAGGGAGATTTTCTTCCAGAGTACACAGGGGCTGGTTTCTTCCCAGTCCTCAGGAGCAGAGGCTGCGAGGAGGGGAGGGCTGGGGGAGGTGGTTTCTTCCGCCAAATTCCCCAGTCCTAGGAAGGATCCACAGAAAAACCCACAAGAATTTGAATGTCTGAGCTGGGGCTGTGACTGAAATGAAATTTTCTAAAAAGAAAGAAAGAAAAACAAAAAAGAGGAGAAAAAGCTTTTTTCAAAAAATCCCAAAGCCCCTGACAGCCCTCAGCTTTCAGAAGGGCCTGAGGTGGCAGCCACGTGAAAGGACGGAGAGAGACCTTGAGGCACGCCGTTTTCCCAGGACAGAACGAAGTCCCCTCCTGTCGCTTGCATGATTGCAGTTGCCTCCTAGCAGGTCCTTGGGTTTCCCTGACTCTAGACTTGCCCCTTGATCCCATCCTCCAGGAGATGGCAGGGCAGGGCACAGAGGAGGGGCAGATGGGCTCCTGGGCACAAGCCACCCTTCAGCTTCTTCCTGCCTTGCCCAATCAGTAAGTCACAGGGTAGGGAGCATTCAGCGAGCTGCGGGCTTGGTGGGTCTGGGGGAGGAGGGGCTGACATATTTCATTGCAGAGTCATTGAGTTTGAGGGGGCTGAGAGTTGTAGAAAAATTTGTAAGTAGACACGGTAGAAAGGAGCCACAGATAGCCCCGGGCGCCGTGACGGGAGCAGGGGCCAGCATAGATTATAATAGTGAGCATTTACATGGTGCTTTCCATTTGCCAGGCCATGGGAATTATTACTGCCTGCCATCCTCATTAGCATCCCAGTGGGATAGGTGCTCTCATTGGCCCCATTAGGTGAGGGCAAAGAGGCGCAGAGAGGTTAGGTAACCGGTTCAAAGGCACACAGCTAGTGAGTGACAAGAAATTTCCCTGTAACTATAGCGTGAGCATGGTGAAGACAGAGCCCCGCGCTGGGAGAGGGCGCCTCAGTCCCAGCTCCATTCTGCACCCAAGGCTCCCCCTGGTTTTCCTGGGAACTAGGGTCCCCTTAGTGGTGGCCCAGGAGAACCGACCAAGGCGGGAGCGCCCCCTCCTGGAAGAGCCTCGCTTCGACGCGTCATCACTCCCGGCCAGTGGCAGGGGCGACGACTGCAAGGCCTGCGTCTGAGAGCCAGCTTGGCCCGCTCGCCCCGCCCGCTTCCCTGTGTCCGCCCCGCCCGCTTCCCTGTGTCCGCTCCGCCCGCTTCCCAGTGTTCGCCCCGCCTCCTTCCCCGTGGTCCTGCCCCTGGGTGGTGCCGCGGCAGGCGTGGGAGCCCGGGAGCCAGCCTGGCGGAGCCGCGGCCCAATGGGAAGGGTAGGTGGGGGAGGGGGCGGGCCGAAGCCGTGCCCGCCTGCCGGGTGGCCCCGCCCCACTCCGGCGCAGGCAGGTGGGCGGAAGAAAGCTGGAGCATGATTGGCGGCCGCGCCTGCCTGTGAGGCCAGGGCGTGGGCGGGGCGTGGCTCGGAGCGCGAAAGATGGCGCGGTACTACGCTGGCTGCGGCCGCGGCGGCGACGACTACTCAGAGGACGAGGGCGATAGCAGCGTGTTCAGGGCGGCTGTGGAGGTGTTCGGGAAGCTGAAGGTGCTGCGGGCCCAGAAAGCCACTGCGGGCGCGGGACCGGTTAGGGCACTGCCTTAGGCCCGGGCAGGCTTGCTGCGGAAGTCCGCGGCACCACAAGGCCACCGTCGCTGGTTCCGGCTGCGCCCTGTCCCCCGCAGCAGGGGATGCTTGTGGATCATTCATCTTTGCTCTTTGGGGTGCCGCAGGCCTTAGCTCTTGCTGTCTCCATGGCCCGTTCCTGGTAGTTGGGGCCAGCGCCGCGTGTGGAACTGCAGTATCCGGGCTGGACGCTCGCAAGTGCAAATACGGAGGACGCAGGCCTGGCCTCAGGGATCTTGCGGGTCTCGGGGGAACAGATGGGCAGAGCCCCGGGCCACTCTGTCAAATTAGCGAGACTGGGGCTTGGTGTCACTTGGTGTCAGATTCCAGGTGTCTAGCCTCCAGAAGCCCTCTACAGCGCCGTGGTACAGAGCCCTCACTGCAGCAGTGACAAAAGCTGGCCCACAAGGTCAGGGACCTGTCCCAGGTCCCTTCCGCCTGCTCGCTCCTCCCCGCAGCCACTTCCCTCATACTGTCTTCGACTGGCTCAGTGGCCCCTCTCCCTCCCTCCCCTTTCCCTCAGTCCCGAAGCTTGGGGCTCTCTAAAGTCTCAGGTCTCGGTCTCAGGTGTTGCTCCTAGGTCCTGCTGCCACAAAGTGGGAGCACTTGAAGGAGGTGGGGGCCGCATGCTTCGAGAGATGTGGGGTTGAGAATTGGGGGACTTGAACTCTTGGCAAGATGGCAGGACGCGGGTAAAGGAAAAAGGTCCTGGGAGCTTGGAGGCGTACACTGAGGGCTGGCGTGGTGGCTCATGCCTGTAATCCCACCATTTTGGGAGGCTGAGTTGGGCAGATCACCTGAGGTCAGGAGTTTGAGAGCAGCCTGGTCAACATGGTGAAACCCCGTCTGTACTAAAAATACAAAAATTAGCCGGGAGTGGTGGCGCGTGCCTGTAATCCCAGCTACCCGGGAGGCTGAGGCAGGAGAATCTCTGGAACCCGGGAGGTGGAGGCTGCAGTGAGCCGAGATCACACCATTGCACTGCATCCAGTCTGGGCGACAGAGCGAGACTCTGTCTCAAAAACAAAAAACAAACAAAAAACATGTACACTGGGACCTTCAGTGAATGTTGCTTTCCTTTTCCTTGCTTAGGACCTAAACTGCCCCTTCCTCGATGGTCTGTATATCACAGAGCCAAGGACAATTCAGGAACTGCTGTGCAGCCCCTCGAAGTACCGCTTGGAGATCCTGGAGTGGATGTGTACACGGTAATGTGTCGGTTTTTTCCTTTTCCCACCTGGGGTGTGCATGGGTGCCACGCAGCCCCATCTGGGAAGATGGGGTTTATGGTTACTGTGAGTAGCTGTCCTCCCAGAGGGCTCCACCCGCTAGCCTGCACTCCTGTGAGAATAGCTGTGTAGGTAAGAAGTGCTGGTAACAAAGCATGATTGAACTGGGGATAAAGTGGCCCTGGCAGTGCTGGGCTAGTCCAGCCACCCCTTTGCCGCAGTGCTGAACTTAGCCTCAGTGTTGGCCTTGCTTTAACTACAAGTTCGGAGGTTCAGGACTGGCAGGTGCCTGAGAAATGTCCCACTCCAGTCCTTTCATTCTCAGACCGGGAAGCCAGGGGTCAGGCTGGATGTCTTTGGCCTTGCAGTGGTGGAGTGACAAGCATGGCCAGGGCATAGGCTCCTGCCTGGGTCTCAGCTGGCCAAGTGGCCCTCATACAGTGTCGCCTCTTGTCAGCTTCTGTGCCGTGACCTGTTTCCTGGTCCTCTGGTGCCTTTGGGTCAGGGTGTAGCATGGTGTGTTCCTGGCACCATACGAGGCCCATGGTGACAGGGCACCTTCCTGAGTGATGGCAGAGGAAATGATCCAGAGTGTCCTATGGCCAGGGAAGACATCCTTGCCCTGGTGACGCAGTCCCTGAGCTGAGCATCTGCCTCACAGCTGTGGATGGAGAGCACAGGCTCCTGTGGGATTGAGTGGATGCCCAGGCAGTACTCTGGAAGGGCTGTGGTCTGCTGGTACCGGAGCCTCTTGTGAGGCCAGGCCTGGGCCTCCCCCTCCTCAGCCTGTGGCCTTCCTGCCCATGCTGCTTGAGGAATGGGCCTGGGCGGGGAGGCTGGCAGCAGAGCGACGAGGTGCTAGCTTGTATCCAGCCGGTCTGGCCCGCCAGGACCAGGGACATCAGCAGGACGTCCAGCTGGATACAGGCTCCCAGAGGAAGGAGGAGACGTTTTTACGTTTGAGCCTTTGCCGTTCCAGCAGTGTCTCCTGCCTCTGCCTTCTAGGCCCTTCCTCAGGCCCCTCCCCAAGCCTCAGCACACCAGCTCCTCGCTTCATAACCTTTTGCTCTTGCTCACATTGTTTCCCCTCCTGGAAGTGCCCTTCTGGTTTCTGCATGTTGCACATACTCCTATACAGCCCTCAAAGACCCAACTCACAGGTCCCATCTCCTTTTAAAGTGTTTCCTGTTCCCAGGGCAGAATGTATTCCTCTTCCTCTGGATGCCCACAGCCTCTTGAGCACATCCGGCCGCTGCTGGAGCCCTCAGCCTGTGGGTGCTGTCTTGGCCTGCTGTCATTTCTGGCTCTTCAGTGTGGGAGCTGCAGCATGGTGTGGACACGTAGCCAGGGGGTTCTCCAGGCTGCACCTGTGTGCCATACCGGGCGCTGCAGATGTAAGTGGGTGTCCTCAGGGAGCCGGGTATTTAGTGGGCATGAGTCCTGGGGTTGGGCAGAAATGATGCACAGCACTTCACTCTGAGCTGGGTGCCGTGGATGTTGGCAGGGAGGAGGTGGCATATGACCGGGAGGGCGATGGGTAACGGCGGGTGCTTGTGTGGACAGGAGCAGGAAGCTGAGGCGTGGGAGAGAGCTGGGCAGCCGCAGCCAGATTGGCAGCTCAGGGCAGCTCCCTCAGAGCCTTGCCTGCCGTGCCCAGGTCTTCGAGCTTTATATTCTGGGCAGGGCAGGCATGGGACCTGGGGAGTGACACGCTGAGATTGGTATTTTGGTAAGGTGACTCGGGGTGCTCTGGACAGATGGATTTGGAGGGCAGTGGCTGCAGGCAGGGAGACTAATACCCCAGGGAAAGACAGTGGCAGGCGGCTTGTCTGGCAGCCACTGCTGGCCCTGGAGGGACTGGAACCTGGCCCGGGAACCTAGTAGGTAGGGCAGGACTGGAGGTGGCTGGGTAGAGTGTGGCTGTCTTGAGCGAGCTCCCAGGAGGCTTTTGTGGGAGGGGTGCAGATTTGCCCGGCTCAGGTGGAAGCTGGGTGCACTCTGGGAACTGGGGTCATCTGCTGGCCAGAGAGAGACAGGTGGGAGGCCAAAGCCACACCCCTCAAATGCTTCTACAGGTTAAGTGTCCCATATCTGAAATGTCGGGGCCAGAAGTGTTTCAGATTTCGATTTCTTCGGATTTTGGAATGTTTCCATTATACTGGTTGGGCGTCCCTAATCTGAGAATCTGAAATCTGAAATGCTCCAATGAGCATTTCCTTTGAGTGTCACATTGGCGATCAAAGAGTTTCGGATTTTGGAGCATTTCCGATTTTCAGATTAGGGATTCTCAAGCTGTAGTGCTTCTGTAAATACCAGAAACAGAATCCTTTTGAAAAGCCACCAGGGAACAGATGACGGCACTGTCTGATTTCAGCTTGGCAAGAGTTCTTAGGCCTTCTGAGGGTCCTCCAGGAGAACTGGGCGGATGGCAGTTTGCCTCCAAATTTCTCATTGCCCTTCTTTGCCCGTGGCCACACCCTGTCAGCCCTGTTTAGGGCCTCCTTTTCATCTCCTCCTGGTAGAGCCTGAAAGCTGCGCCTAGCATTGGCCCTTGGTGTGGGGTGGGGCAGAGCTTGGAGCCCCTGGATGGTGGAGGTCAAGGCCCTGTGGGTTTCCTGGGGGCCTCCAGGGCCTCCAGCACTTTCCGTTCTTGCTCTGCCCCCTGCGGTGACGGCGCAGTGCCTTAATGACAGCCTTTACTGAGTCAGGCTGCTTGGGCCTCTGCTGCGTGTTCAGGGGATTACTGTGCCCGGCCTTGTGCACTGCTGGGTGAGTGCCCCCTGCTCCACCGAGCCTTGTGCTCAGGGACATTCCTGGTGACCCCTCTGGCAGAACCAGCCTTCTGGTCACTCTTTTCCTTCCCCAGTCCTGCTTGCGCAGACCCTGCCATTGTCTTAATAAGCCATGGAGGCGGGTGGTACGGCAGAGGCAGCCAAGCCTGATCTCTGCGGCAGTCCTGGGGTAAGTGTGGCCTCTCTAGGGAACAGCCACCAGCCCTTTTCCCGCCACACGAGTCAACAGGCCCCTAGCGTGACAGCAATGGCAGGGTGTAGCCAGGCTCTGGCAGCCTGGTGGAAAGCACCTCCTTCTTGTTTGTGGAATGCTGCTGTGGTGGCAGGCACCTGGGGCTCCCTGGTCAGAGCCTGTGGCCCCAGTGGCTGGAGTGATGTACCTGGGCCTCAGTGCCATACTGGGCTTGGGGCTTGGGGCTGGTGGTGTAGCGCCTGGGCTGTGCTCCCCTGAAGAAGCAGACCCAGTGGAGGGCTGAGCCTTGTGTCACCTGTGGCGCATGTCTGGGCATTGCGGGACTCCCTCTCTTCCATGCACTGTGCATCTGGACCTGGTTTTGCCCACCAGATGGCTTTTAAGGTGGCATGCTTCTGAGCGGCCCCTGCATGCAGCAGTCCGTGCCCAGGGTGATGAGCCTTCACTGGATTCTGTCGCAGTAGGAGCCCCCACATGGCTGAAAGTAGGCCTCACAAGCCTTTTCTGCAAAGGGCTAGGTGGGAGGAAACTGCTCTACCCCGAGGAGCTGCTGCCCACCCAGGTGAGGCTAGGGAGGACACCAGGAGCCCGGGGCCAGCCCTCAAAACCCTCCTGTACCGCCGTTTCAACGAGGAGCCTGGGTGCTGGCGGCCTCCCTCTCTGCCTCTGCTGCAGCCATCTTGTTGTTGTTGTTTTGAGAAGAATTTTCATTTCAGTGTTTAGATTCACATTTCTGAGGTAAACTTTCTCGAGTATTCTTTTTCTAATAATTCATGGGAAGGAAATCATGACATGAAAGAAACCATTTGAAAGTGAGCAGGTGCACAAGGAATTCAGTTTTTCGAGCACGTCTAGAGGCCCGGGGTATTCTCCAGCTGTCTGCGGCCTGACCGGCTTTGCTATTTCCCTGCAGGATCTGCCCCTCGCTGCAGGACAGGCTCAGCTTGCTGAAAGGGGTCCCGACAGAGGTGAAGATCCAAGGTAGGTGCGGTCCTGGTGCATCCTGAGCTTGTCCACAGACTCCTTATTGAGTGGTGCGTGTTCCATCGGACCGGTGTTTTCCTTAAGGCGGTGCACGTGGTGTGGATGTTGTGAGAGCCTTCTTCAACCCCAGCCTTCCCTAGGCATGACCCGTGGGAGAGCTCCTCTTGCAGAGACCTAGAGCACGTCAGTCCCTGTGGTGCTGGTGGCCAGAGACAGAGATTCTTGCCGATGCCACCATTGGTTTCGTCTCCCTGTGTCAGTGGTGTGTGACCCACTGTCTACAGGTGGCATTTCTGGGGGCATGCCTGTTGCTCTCCAGTGGGGCTTGTCTTGTAACCTCTGTTCCATCACTTCTTGTTAGAAACTATACTTAACCTGGTAATGAGTGTTAGATAAAGGTGAGCAAAATTGCAGTCCCCAAGTTGGGGGCTGTTGTTCCACCTTCATGGTCATCTCTCCAGAAGTTGGTGGAATGTCAAAGGTCAAATTTTTCATGGGCCTGTGTCTGTTCTGGCCACTCCAGGGTAGATAAGCTGGACCCTGGAGTCCTGATCTGGGCCCCAGCTGGTGTAGCCACATGAATTAGCTGGGGCTGATTGTCCTGTGCTGAGGCAGGCCAGGAGAATGCGGTGTTGTCTTGGAGTAGCCAGCGGGCTGGCCTGGACCACACAGGGACATTGCCCTTTTCCCCAGAGCTGCTGTGCCCGGTACATTCCAGATTCTCTGATCCACATCAACACATGTGCCACCCAGCCCAGCCTTAGCCCTGATGCCGCCACTGCCAACCTCAGTTTCCTTTCCTGTCAAGTGCAGATGAAATCCAGCCTTTACCCATCGTGGGAATATGCTGTCAGACTTGTCAGAGTGCGGGTGGGAAGAGGGTGGGAGAACTCTCCATGCACGTGCTAGCGAGAAGCACCGGGAACAGCTGAGGGCTGAGTGGTCCCGTGGGGGCTGGGGAAGGGTGGTGCTGTCGACATAAGATGGCAGGAGGGGTAGAAACCAGCCCGGCATGTGTGAGAGGAAGAGCATGGGCGCAGGGTCCCAGTGGGCTTGTGCCTGGCCGCTTGGAGGCACAGTGAGGAGGCTGGTGTGGCTGAAGTACAGGGAGAGCAAGGGGTGATGTGGGAAGGGGATGGGCCAGATCAGGCCAGGCCGTGTGGGCCATGGAAGGATGTGGGCTTTTACTCCGAGGAAGGCTGCGTTCTGCCGTTGGCTGTAATGAGACCCCCAGCCCGCGGTGCTGGGAACAGGGCACCTGGGGAAGAGGCAGAGAGAATGGGGCTGTTGCAGTCAGTGGCCCAGGTGAAAGTTTGGAGGGTAGTGCTGGCCAGATCTGGATTTCTAGCGCAGGGAGGGTTGGCTGGACTTGCTGCGAGGAAGAGAGGGATCAGGGAGGACTCGATGTAGGGTTAAGGGCAGTGGTGGGGCAGGCTTGCCTGGGTGCGCAGCTGGCATTTGTGGTGGGCCTGGGGTTACTGAGTGCTTCCCCACAGAGTCTCTGCTTACTTCTGGCAACAAACCCTCCAGGACTAGGTGGAGGGACAGGCCTGGCACCGGCCCCAGGCTTTCTGGCTGCAAGTTACTGAGAAAATGCCCTGGGCGCCCTGGCAGATGTGGCTGGATGGTTTGCAGTGTGCAGGGCCCCAGGCTCCCCACACATGAAATGGAACAAGGCCTACCACCCCCAGGGCTGCTAGCAGATGAGAGCAGATGATGGCATGAAGGGCCCTTAGGACATAGCCAGGTGGGAGCGGTGGTTCCGTTTGCTTTGGCCTTGGGAGGTCTCAGAGAGGAGGGCACACGGTGCACCCTGGAGGTTTCCTGACCCCTGTCCACTCCTCAGCTGCTGACTTCTGCTCAAAGCCAGAGTGAGTGACCCCAGACATTGGGAGAGCCTCGGGTACAACCCCTCATTTTCAGGCAAGGAAGCTGATGCCCAGAGATGGGTGGGGCCAGTGAGCAAGAGGCAGCACCAGCACCTGGGTGCCTTCTGTCTGCCTCTTGGTCCACCCTGGTCTCCTGTCCCTGGTCCGGCCTGTGGGTGCTGGGCTTCCTGGGTGTCTGTTGTCCCCTGCCATCTGGGAGGTGCCTGCCGTGATGGGCTCTTTGTGTTTCAACAGAAATGACAAAGCTGGGCCATGAGCTGATGCTGTGTGCACCAGATGACCAGGAGCTCCTCAAGGTAAGAGGGCCCCTGTCTCTCCTGCAGATGACATGCATACTTTCCACCCTGGGCGGGGGACCTTGTGGTGCTGGCTCAGGTGGGAGACTTTTCCTCCCCTAGTGCCTTTGAGGTTCCTCAGGCCCCAGGGCGGGCTGGGTGCCCAGGCACGCTGCTTCTCCAGGCATCCCTGGGGCCAGGACTGCTGGGATTCCCTTGGGTAAAGCCTGGTTGTCCCTGGGGCACAGTGGGGAGGGCAGCCATGCAGGTAGGGACAGGTCTCTGTCTTCTGATGACCAGTGGGATGGAGAGTGTCTTGTCCTTGGTTGATGACGTCATTCTTGCCTGGTACTGTACGTGCCAGTCATTGTCACAGCCACCCTCGGCAGCAAGGAGGAGGACAGGCAGCTCACCTGAGGTCACACGGTGGCAGAGCCAGGCCTCACATCCCGGCGCCTGGCTCCCATGCCCTTGGGGCCTGTCTGGGAGTTTCTCCTGAGGCCCCTTATCTACCCCAAGATTGGTCAAAGAAACCCCAGCCCCCACCTTAATGTTTCTAAATTTTGAAATAATTGTTTTCACTCCATGATTATGAGTAATGCTGCTGTGAACATTCTTGCATATGGTTTTTGACTGAACATATATATATATATTTTTAATATCTGAAGAGATTTATTCATGTGACTGATGGCCTGTGACACAGTCCCTGGAGTTCCTGCAAACATGTGCCCAAGGTGGTGGGGCTACAGCTGGGTTTTATACAATTTAGGGAGACATAAGACATCAGTCGATACATGTGAGATGTGCATTGGCTGGTTGGACACGTGTTTTCAGTCCTCTAGGAGTGGGATTGCTGGGTCACAGGGTCACTCTGTGCTTAGGCTTTTCCAGTGCAGTGGCACCAGCAGTGCGGGAGAGCTTCAGTTCATCCTTGTCCTCGCTGGCACTCGTAGGGTCCATCTTCTTGATTTTGGCCACACTGCTCGGTGTGGGGTGGTATCTCATGGTTTTTATTTGTATTTCCCTATGACCAATGATACGGAGTATCTTTTTGTGCGTTTCTTGGCCATTTCTGTATCCACTCTGGAAAAATGTCCACACTCATGTCCTTTGCCCACTTTTTAATTGGGTCACTTGTCCAGTGAGGTTTTTTTTTTTTTGTTTGTTTTTTTTTTTTCAGGGCAAAGGTTTTAAATTGTAATAAAGTCAAATTTATTAATTTTTTTCTTTCACATTATTGTATCTAAAAACTCATGAATTTTAGGGCAGTTTTAGGTTCACAGCAAAACTGAGCAGAAAACACAGAGGTTTCCCACAGGCCCCCCGCCCCACACATGCACAGCCTGTCCCGCCGTGGACACCCTGCACCCGGTGGCTCCATTGTCACAGTCCCTGAAGTAGCATGGACATATCGTCACCCAAAGTGCATATCCAGGGAGTCTTTTCTCCTGTGGCTGAGAGTTCGTGGCTTTTCACGTACCAAGTAGTTCTCTGTACATTTTGGCTATTACCTTGGCTCTGGGTCTTGCTAAATTCTATGGAGAATGTATTCTCCATACAATTTATATTTGTATAAATCTTTGTGCTGTAGCAGGCACTTGACCTGCTTAGGTTTAAGCAGCAAGTCCAGCCGCCTCCTGCCGCCTGCCTCCCGCCTCCTTCCAGCATCGGCTCTGTTTCCACAGCCTTCGCACGGCTCTTTGGATCCCCCCCTATGTGTGCGCCACCCAGTGGTCAGCCTGGCAGTTTTTGCTGGGTTCACCAAGATTAGATCCACCCATGCACAGGTGGGCCTGACCAAGGTGTTATAAACAGATTTCTGGGGTCACTTTCTTAAGCTGTTTCCTCTCCACTCTCTCTTCAATACTTTCTAGTTCCCTGGGGCTCCACTTTTTCTGTCCTCCAGACATAAAGCCCCCGCTTCTGTGATTGTGGCGGCACGGTCAGCTCCTGGTGTTCCTCCCTGACCCACCTGCCCTGCCGCGGCACTCTGCACTTGCTTTGTATTTCCACATTTGCATTGAGGCAAAATGTACTTTACATAAAATCCACCATGTCAGCTATGAAAATCAATTTCCCAGCAGGCCTGCGGGAGCTTGCCTCTTTAAAAAAAGTTTTTTAGAAAAATGATGGTGAAATACGCATCACTTATATTGTACCGCATTCACCATTTTCAAGCGTGTGCTCAGGGGCGTGAGCACACTCTGGTGCTGTGCAGCCATTACCGCCATCCAGCTGTAGAACCTGTTGATCTTCCCTAACTGAAGCTTCGTCCTCAATTAAGCCTCATTAATGCATGTCATTTAGTGGTCTTTAGTGCATTCACAGTGTTGTACGACCACCACCTCTATCTAGTTCCAAAATATTGTCATGATCACCCCGAAAAGACATCCTGGACCACTGTGTAGCCACCGCTATTCCCCACAGGCCCTGGCAAGCCCTGAGTTACCGTCTGTCTGTCATCAAAAGTGAATGCGGGAATATGCGGCCTTCGGTGACTGGCTTCCTCACTGAGCACATGGTTTTCAGGGTTTGTCCATGTTACAGCAGCACGTAGCATTCCTTGTTATGGATAAACAGTCAAAGGAATTGGAGAATTCCATTGGCGTTATTGAGGCCAGGGAGGTGAAGGAGGGAGAAAGGAGCTACAGATTTAAGATCATTAGGTAGGGTCATACCTTGTAGTCCTGAGTTTTAATTGGGAGTATCAGTGTGAGCCCCTGGGCTTCAAGCGATCCTCCCACCTCAGCCTCCTGAGTAGCTGGGGTCACAGGCATGTGCTACCACACTCAGCTAATTTTTAAAATTTTTGTAGAGACGGGTTTTACCATGTTGCCTGAGATTGTCTGGAACTCCTGGGCTCAGGTGATCCTCCCACGTTAGCCTCCCAAAGTGCTGGGATGACAGGTGTGAGCCACTGTGTCCATCCTCCTAATATATTTTTAACTTAAGAAATATGCATTTCCTTATCCTGTGCCCTGAACATGTCTAGAACAATGGCGCCCAGCTGTAATACAGGCAGGAACACAGAGAGCAGTACTCATCCAAGACTTAGAGTCACGTCTGATGGACTCAGGAGCCAACTAGCAGTGGTTAAGAGAGGGGCCAGCGCAAGCCTCCTAAGCATGGTGGCTGCAGTAGACAGGCACCCTTCACTTACACCCAGATTCAGGTGTTCATAGTCATGTTTGATGAAGTCAGAAATTTGACACTAAAAGCATAAGTGACAAAAGAACACACAGATCAATTGTACTTTGTTAAAATGAAACACTGGTGCACCAAAGGATACCGTCAAGAAACTAAAGAGACAGAAAAACCTACAAAATGGGGGAAAAATGGTTGTAAATCACATGACTGATGAGGGAGTTGTATCCTGAATCTATTAGGAACCCTTACAACTCAATATGAAAAACAGAGAACCCAGTTCGAAATGACAAAGTATCTGAATAGACATTTCTCCAAAGAAGATGAAGAAATGGCTGAAGAGCACATGCAGAGATTCCCAGCATCACCAATCATTAGAGCAGCATACACGCACCATTATGAGATACAATTTACACACACTAGGAAGGTTAGACTCAAAAAAGGAAAGGAGGCCAGGCCCAGAGGCTCATGCCTTTAATCCCAGCACTTTGGGAGGCTGAGGCAGGAGGGTCACTTGGCCTCAGGAGTTGAAGACCAGCGTGGACAACATAGCAAGATCCTGTCTCTACAACAAGTAAAAAATTAGCCGGTCGTGATGGCACACCCAAGTAGTCCCAGCTACTTGGGAAGCTGAGGCGGCAGGACTGTGTAGAGCCCAGGAGTTCAAGGCTTCAGTAAGCTCTGATGGTGCCACTGCACTCCAGCCTGAGCCACAGAGCAAGACCCTGTTGCTTAAGAAAAAAAAGGAGAATAACAATGTTGGCCAGGATGAGGAAAATTGCAAGCCTCCTGCGTGGCTGGTAGGAATGTAAAATGGTGCAAGTGCTGTGGAAAAGTCTGGCAGTTCCTCAGAGATGTCAACACACAGTTACCCTGTAACCTAGCGGTTCTACTCCTAGCCGCACACCCAGGAGAAGCGAAAACATACTTGCACACGGAATCCCGTACCTGAGTGTCTGTAGGAGTATTATTCTTAATGGCGCACAAGTGGAAAGAACACAAATGTCCATCAAGTGGTGAATGTATAAACTAACTAGCAATACTAAGGAAATCAACTGCTGATCTGCACTATGACACAGGTGATCCTTGCCAGCCTCGTGCTGTGTAGTAGTCCAGATAGGCCAGGTCATTGCTGCGGGGATGTGGCGTCCCCAGATCGCCTTGGAGCGCATGATTGTGGACAGCACCGCCATGCAGGCAGTTAGGCCGCCCAGCGCCGTCACCCCTGTCCTGGGTGCCCTGAGCTTCTCGCACTCGTCCTCCCGAATCTGCCTCAGTTGGATGTCATGATGATGCTCAGTCTCTATGCTATTGACAGTGTTGCCACACACGGTTCTAAGGAGCACACCGGAACGAACTGGCTCAGCCGGCTGTTCCAACCGCTTCCTTCACCAAGCCCCGCAAGGAGCGTTTGCATGGCAAGTTGGCGCTGAAGGCACAGGCCGCAGCGAAAGGGCTGAGGTGCTTCCAGTGGCATTTCACACCCCGTGGAGTTGGCCCTTTTGACGTGGTTAGGCTGTTCAGAGCTTGAGAGGCGGGCCTGGCTGGGGGCCTTTCTGGAGCAGGCATAGCCTCTCAGGTCCTGGGGCTCATCAGCGAGCCTCCTCCTTTTTCTGGAAGGAGGAAAGAGCTGTGCTTCTTGAAGCCTTGAGCTCCTGGCCAGGTGGCTTCTGTGAGAATCCCACTCACCTTTCTGGCAAGTTGGGGACTAAGTCAGCGCCTCAGGAGCTGCTGCTCCAGGAGCCTGGGCCTTCCAGGCTGGAACGCCAGTCCCCTGGCTGGAAAGCAGACCACCTCCCAGCCCCCTCCTGTTGGCTTCATCTGTTCCCAGCTGGGTGGGTGATCCATGGAGGAGAACAGGCCTTGTCCTGGAGGTGCCTCTGCGGGCTGTGGGCTGTGGGCTGTCACAGCTGGCCCTGCTGTGTGCTGCCCACCCGCCCAGCAAGCCATGCTGTCAGCTACACGACAGAGACACGCTCCCATCTGTTTCTGTAGCACTCAGCCCTTTCTGGCATGTGGGGCCAGCGTCATTACAGGCCAAGGCAGGGACCGGACAGGGAGCACTCGCTAGTCCAAGACATTGCCGGCCAGGCACAGGGGCATCGATGGGCCAGGCCCCTCCTTTCCACTGGCTCCTGGCTGGGGTGGCATGTGGGGGCAGGGGCACCAGGGACAGCTGGCATTGACCTGGCTTAGGTGGAGCCAGTGAATGCCTGTGGCCCTCCCTGCCCAGGGCTGTGCCTGCGCCCAGAAGCAGCTGCACTTCATGGACCAGTTGCTCAACGTCATCCAGAGCCTGACTGTTGGGTGCTCCAGTTGCTCGAGGTAAAGGCTCAGGTTGGCAACCTTGGTGAGTTTGTCTTAGTCCTAGTTCTGGAGCAGGTAGGGGCTGGGTTGTCACTCCCTCTCTGGTGCTGGGTCAGGCGGGGCACCCTCCTTGGGGATCTGGCCAGCCAGTCAGGCGCCGGGCAGTGTTAGGGCAAGGAGTGGCTGTATCCCAAGGGTGCTGACTGCTGCCCAAGGCCTCGGGGGTAAGTGTAAAGGTGGGGTATGGGACTCAGAGCATATGGGCCAGGCACAGAGGAGAGTGAGCACCAAGGTGCCCCGTGGGTGGGTGGATAGGTGGACTTTTTGGAGGAGCCAGAACAGACAGGTGGGGCAGGATTGTGAGCAGTGCGGCTCTGTGCCTAGCCCCATGTGCCTCTGGGGTCTTCCCTGTGGGGCTGAGGGTCTGCTGGGCCAGTGCTCTGGCCTGTGACAGTGTGGCCCTGGGGCTGCCTTTGCAGCCTGATGGAGCACTTTGAGGACACCAGGGAGAAGAACGAGGCCTTGCTGGGGGAGCTCTTCTCCAGCCCCCACCTGCAGTTGCTCCTGAATCCAGAGTACGACCCATGGCCCCTGGACATGCAGCCCCTCCTCAACAAGCAGAGTGAGAACTGGCAGTGGTACGTGCTCCTGGAGGCCTCAGCAGCCCTGGCCCCTCGGCTCTGTCACTGCAGACACTGCTGGCAGCGGGAAACTGCAAGTGTCCCCTTTCTCCCTGTAGGACCAGCACCTCTGCCAAGTCCGAGGAGGAGGAGAAGCTGGCGGAGCTGGCCAGACAGCTGCAGGAGAGTGCCGCCAAGTTGCAGGCGCTTAGAATGGAGGTGAGGGTGCTGGCTCCTGGGAGAGGGGGCTTGAAGGCAAGGCCCTGCTTTGTCACTTCCTCCAGCATGTGAGGCTTAAGCAAGGTTGCTTGTGCTCTGGGCCTGGCACGTTCTAGAATGCTGTGGTGCTCAGTTCACGTGGAGGTAAGAGGCAGGTGCTGTGGCTCTGGGAAGGGATCGGCCTCGGGTACTCGGCGGTGCCCACTCCTGAGCACGTTGCCTTGTGCCTTGCCTCATGTGACCCTCCTGGTCGGGCCTTTGTTTGATCCCAGAGGAGACCAGGACCCACAGGAGAGTGAGTGACGGGGCTGAGGCTGGGAGCCAGAAGGTCTTGTTCTGGCCTGAGTTGCTCCGTACAGCTCCCCTGTCTCCCTGTTTCTGGAAGCTTTCTTCCTTGCCCTGACCGTGCGGTGTCTGGGGTGAGGGCTGGTGGTAGCCTGGCTGGCAGGCAGGGCAGCCTGGAGGGACTCTGCCTCTGACTTTGCAGTACTTTGCACAGCACGAGCAAGGGGCCGCTGCGGGTGTGGCCAGTGTCGGCACCCTAGACCAGAAGCTGCGTCTGGTCACCTCCGACTTTCACCAGCTCATCTTGGCTTTCCTCCAAGTCTACGATGATGAGCTGGGCGAGTGCTGCCAGCGTCCCGGCCCTGACCTCCACCCCTGCGGCCCCATCATCCAGGCCACGCACCAGAATCTGACTTCCTACAGACAAGTAAGGGTCCCCTTTCTTTCCCACCCCTCTCCCCTGTTCACTCAGACTGAGAGCTCATACCCTGCTTGTCCTCAGGGGCCTCAGCAGCCCCTGACAAGGGACCACAGGGCCAGACCAGGGGCTGGGTGGGGCTAGGCTGGGCCCCCTTTGGACCAGTGGCGTGGCAGGGCTCTGGGCCATCAGTGGGCTGGGGCACGTGCTGCTTCTGGTCTTTGGACCCGCCCATCTCAGCGGGCAGTAGCTAGGCCTAGATCTGGCGTGGGATCCTGCGTGTCCTTGCCTTCAGCTGCTGTCCCTGTGTTTTCCTCACTGTTTTCACATCATGCTCCAACATAGCAAGGTCCATTCATTCTTGTGTATGACCAAGAACTGTGCCAGACAGGCAGACAAACGCTCAGACAGGATGGGAAGAAGCGGGCTCGTCAAAATGTTTGCTTGTTTCGTTGTTCTGCATGCGGGATCCCCAGAGGCCAGCCTAAGAAGCCAGCTTTAGTTACGATGACTACAGTTGCCGTAGGTGTGACTGTGCCCTTGCCTCAAGGGTTCTGTGATGTTTATTTTGATTTTTAAACTGAGAGGCTCCAAGCCTTCCAACCTCTGACTGGCCGGTCCTGTGAGACTTCCTGATCAGGGATGGCGAGGCCACAGACCTCTCCTGTCCGTTTTTCTTGGAACATTTATTTTCCCACCCTGCGAATTGCTCAGGCTGGGAGGACACACAGTGCTGGCTGGCATATCACTAGGCACCGAGGGTTACCAGAGTGACATGATAGTGTGGCATCCCCACTGGGCCAGAAAGAGGGGACTCAGTTTGAGAATTCTGGTTGGTGACTTTCCAGCTGGGAGTTACGTCCCTCACCCTTGGCTATCTTTTGGGTAAGTGGTACCTGACTAGTGTGAACATGGGTGGGAAGCAGGAGACACCATCACTAGGTCAGACGAGCGGCATTTAGTGCCTGCTCGCTCACTGGCTTCCCCCCTCCCTCCCTCCCCAGCTGCTGCAAGTGATCGTGGCAGTCGCTGACACGTCTGCGAAAGCTGTGGAGACTGTGAAGAAGCAGCAGGGTGAGCAGATCTGCTGGGGCAGCAGCAGCTCCGTCGTGAGTCTAGGTACGTGGCCACCCACTTGCTCCTCCGCCTGGGGCTGCCTCATGTGCGGGCTCCCTTTTCTGTGCTCCACTAACCCTGGGGGAGCATTTGGGGACTGGCCCCTTCTTTCGTTTTTCATTTTCGAATGCATGTTTTCCTTCCCTTGAAAACATGCTTTCAGTGGATTATCAAAAACACTCATCGTAGAAAGTTGAGATAACCCAGTAATAGAAAATGTGAAGCAAACGATAGCAACTGTCGGAATGGAATAGTATTTGGCAATGAGAAACATTACTTGGGCCAGGCATGGTGGCTCATACCTATAATCCCAGCACTTTGGGAAGCCGAGGAGGATGGATCACTTTGAGCCCAGGAGTTTGAGACCATCCTGGGCAACATGGCAAGACCCCATCTCTACTAAAATATAAAAACTAGCTGGGCATGGTGGCATGCACCTGCAGTTTCAGCTACTTGGGAGGCTGAGGTTGGAGGGTTGTTTGAGCCCACAAGAGGGAAGTTGCAGTGAGCTGAGATCATGCCACTGTGCTCCAGCCTGGGTGACAGAGCCAGACCCGGTCTCAAAAAAAAAAAAGTTCCTTAAGGAAAATGGGAAAATGCTTATAATGAGAGCCATCGTCCCAGAGTTGACTTTTGCATATGGAGTGAGGTAGGGGTCCAGTTTCCTTGTATCATATATGGATACACATTTGTTGCAGCACCATTTAATGGGAATCACTCTTTCCCTCATTGATCTACAATCCCATCTATCTTGTTAATTATTAAGTGTCCATACATTATCTGTGGGTTTCTGGGTTCTCCTCTGTTCTGTGCCCTTTTTTTAAAAAACTATCCCTCCACTAATATCACATTTCAGTGGCTAAAAAATAAATAGCAAAATAAACCCACAGAAAGAAGGTAAAGCCACTTTTCTACCTCTTCTAATTTATGTTTTAAATAACAGCTCTATTGAATTATAACTCATATAAAATGTACCCTTTTAAAAGTGTACAGTGTCACGGTCTTTAAGATATTCACAAAGTTATGTAAGCATCCCTTCATCACTATCTAAGTCCAGAAGAAACCCCATGTGCTTAGCAGCCACTCCCCATCCCTCCCTAGCCTCAACTCCTGGCAACCATGTCATAGAGATGCTGTCTGTCTCTATGGATTTGCCTGTGCTGGGCATTTCCTGGAAATGGAATAAGAATATGTAGCCTTTTGTGTCTGGTGTCTTACACTGAGCATAAAGTTTGGTAAGCGTTATCCATGCTGTTCATTCCTTTCCATTGCTGAACAATATTTGATTGTATGGATATTCTACATTTTGTTGTAGTTGGTAGATATGTGGGTTGTTTCTACTTTTTGGCTATGTACATTGTAAGTCTTGTGTGAACATATTTTTCTTTTCTTTTTTTTGAGACAGAGTCTTGCTCTGTTGCCCCTGCTGGAGTGCAGTGGTGCGATCTTGGCTCACTGCAACCTCCACCTCCTGAGTTCAAGCGATTCTCCCGTCTCAGCCTCCTGAGTAGCTGGGATTACAGACACCTACCACCGTACCTGACTAATTTTTTGTACTTTTAAGTAGAGATGGGGTTTCGCCATGTTGGTCAGGCTGGTCTTGAATCCTAACTTCAGGTGATCCATCCCCCTTCACGTCCCAAAGTGCTGGAATTATAGGCGTGAACCACCACACCCAGCCTCTTTAACTCTGTTTTTTAAAGTTATTTTTTGTGGTTGCCCTTAGAATTACAGTTAGTATCCTAACTGAAAACAGCCTAGGACCAAATTAATTTCAGTAGTATACAAAAACTTTCTCCTATTAAAGCAAAATATGTTAGTGTTAGATATTTTTGGGTACACTGTTTTAATTCCCTTGTTTCTTTACCACTTTTTCTTAAAGTTATTTTTAAGTGGTTGCCCTTATAATTGCATTTAGCATCCTAACTGAAGACAGTGTATTACCAAATTAATTTCAATTGTATACAAAAACTGCTCATTAGAATGAAGCTGTATTAAGCTTCATTCCTTTTTACCTCCTTTGTCCTATTCTTTTACACAAAATACAACTTTAGATATTATATGCCCATCAAGACAGATTTATAGTTATTGCTTTATGCAGTAGCCTTATAAATTAGGAGAAAATCACAAACATACATTTGTACACATTTTTGTATTTATCGATGTTGCATTTATTAGAGTTCTTTATTTCTTCATGTGGATTTATGTTACTGTCTAGTGTTCTTTCATTTCAGTCGGGGGGGCCTACCTTTAGTATTTCCTGTAGGGAAGTCTCACTAGTGACGAACTTCCTCATTTTTTGTTTATCTTGGAATGTCTTCATTTCTCCTTCATCTTTAAAGGCTAGTTTTGCTGGATATAGAATTCTTTTGACTTTGAATGTGTAATTCCAATGTCCCCTGGCTGCCACAGCTTCTGATGTGAAGCCAGCTGATGTATGAGTCTCTTTACTTTTCAAAATTCTGTTCGTTCCTGGCTTTGGACAGTTTGATTCCAGTGTGTCTTTGTGTGAATCTCTGTGAATTTATTCCACTGGGAGCTTTTTGAACTTTGTAGATGTGTACATTCTTGTTTTTCATCAACACTCAGCCAGGCGGTTGACAGCTCTTTCTCCTTCACATCTTGCTTGCTCAGAGCCTCAAGGTCAGTCACAGGTGAGAGCTCAGGGCCTTCTCCGGTCTCTCTCAGGCATTTTCACAGCCCTGTGCATGCACATGGTCTTCCAGGTTCCCAGGACTGTGCCAGAGCTTTCCAGAGCCTCTGTGGACATCTGATTCTCCAGCCCCTCCTCCTGAGCTTGTCTAGTCTCTTGTTGGCCCAGCTGTGACGCACTGCCTCAGCCAGCCACAGCTAAAGCATTTGCTGTCAGTGTTTTCCATGGCTGTGCCTCCAAGCAGTGGCTTCAGGTCCCCAAACTGTCCTTTTGGAGACTGTCTTTGGATGAAACCTCCAGCCAGCTGTCTCCCTGGAGAGCGAGGCTTCTCACTGCTCTTGGCCTCGTCACATATCTGCCCTGTGTATACTGGGCACTGAGAAGTCTCTTCTTGCTGATGGAACTTTAACACAACCCTCCACTTAAAAATGTATCAGCATGGATCCTAATCACCACTGTCACTATGCCTCTCTCCCCACTTTTTATAATTGCTGTTAATAAACTGCTTATAATCCATGCCATCATTCCCATAATGCTGATCAGTGGTACTCTTAACAGTGTGCCATCTCACCTGTGACTGTGGCACCATAGGACTGGTGGCAGGTCTTGCCTTGCAGAAGGGCCCCTTATTGCTTCCGGGCTAAGATCAGAGTGGTATCTGTCTGTACGTCCAGGCTGTGTGAACTGGGCAGTGCGCCGTGTACAGGGAAGTGTCTGTTCAGCCTTGAGCCCCAGCTGCCTCGGGGGTCTGGAGAGATGTGAGGGGAGCAGGCCCAGGGCGGGCATTGGCCTCTCTTGGGGTTCTTGACTCAGCTTTCATCAATGCAGCATCCTGATTTGGCTTGAGATAAATTATTAGGCTCTAGACACACCAGAGAAAGGGTCAGCATCAAATCCATGCCAAAGGCCACTGGGATGGTTCTTTACTTGTTCCATTTCCTCTGTGGCCCCTTGAGGGCCCTGGTCTCGATGTCCCTCCTCCTGCTGTGGAAGGCCTGTGTTTCTGTGCTGTTTCCCCTCCCTGCAATCTTCATGCCCGCAGCCAGGCTCTGTTGGAGGTGTGGCATCAGCTCTGAAGTGAGGAGCGACCAGTGTGCCTGCTGGGCTCATGCCAGCGTGTGGTCTCGTGTGGGTTGGCAGGGCGTTGGCACTGTGGGTCAGCACCACACACTGGGAGTCACCATCTCGATCTGATGGGCCTGAAGTCCCATTTGGCCCCCAGGGGCATGAAAACATTAATGTATTTAGAGACCGAAGCAGTGCTGTCAGCGCAAGAATGGGGCAGGGGAGTTGAGGGCAGCAACATTGGAGAGGTGCCATCAACCCTGGGAGGTAGACAGGGAACGGGCGGGGAAAGCGGCAGCCGAGGGGACTGCGCAAGGGGCAGTGGGGTGCTGAGGACGGGGCAGTGGAGCAGATGGAAGCAGAGGGCTCGGGTGAAGCAGGTCTGGAGAGGGCCACCTGCACGGGGTGGTGACCCCAGTGAGACCCTAGCTTGCTCTTCTTTGAAGAAAATGATGGAAATGAATAAGCAAACCCAGCTCCCAGCCTCATGAAGAGCCAGCCCCCACAGAGCCTGAGCGGCTCCCAGTTTCGCTCTTGATGAGACTGATGTGGCTGGCAGCAGCCTGGGTGAAGCCTACCTTTTCCCTTTTCCTGGCCTCTGAGGGTCCATGGGGCAAGAGCTGATCCGTGCCTCGCCTCCATGGAACTCCTCCAAACTGTCCTCTGGAGAGAGGCCCCATGGGCAGTGGGCCACTCCACCGCAGCAGAGCAGGGCAGTGCAGCAGCTACCCAGGTCCTTTCCCCGATGCCGGTGGCTTGAGAAACAGCCTTGTGCAGGAGAGGATGAAGCCTGGGATGAGCAGGAAATCGGCCCTGACGGACTTTCTGACACCACTGAATTCACGCACTGTGACATGCGGACATGCCTGGACAGCTGTTAGAACCCAGCAATGAGCAGACTAGGAATGAACTGAGGCTGGGGTCTCTAAGAAGAGAGAGAAAAGAGACAGAAAAAGCGCAGAGATCAGCGTCGTGCAGGCCCCAGCCAGCCACAGTGTCTCCAGGGCAGGGGGTGGGGGAGATGGAGGGCAGGGCTCTGGAGGAGGTGGCAGGTCCACAGGACAAGCCAGGCGAGTACAGGTGCTGAGCACGGACGGATGGGACCCACCTCCTGCCATCCAGAGTACAGGGGCCAAGGGCTGGGGCCAAAGCTTTGAGAGAGCCTGTGGCCTCAGAGAAGCAGCCGGGGCCCGCTGGTGATTCCTGACAAGCACCAAGAGCGAGGGCAGAGCAGGATGCTGGGGTGGAGGCCACACGAGGGAAAACAGGCTAAAGTGTGCGCATTGCGGCAGGGAGCCCCTCAACTGGGACGCCGCTGGAAGCTGATGCAAGCGGGCAGGGTCCCAGGATGCCATTCCGGGTGGGCTGAGCACAGTCAGCTCTGTCACCCTGAGGCACACACATGATTCCTGACCTTCAGAGTCATCCTCAGGATGGGCGGAGGATGACAAATGCAGGCTTTACAGCACTTAATGTCAATGCTAATGACCTCAACATGTGAAAGGCAAAGCATAGCTGACAGTGGGGTCACGGATGGGGCAGACAGGCAGGGCAGGTGAGGGGCTGTGTCCTCCTCCTCCGCCTGCTGGAGGGGGATGATGGCCATGCTCTGGGGTTGGCTCCTGAGAGGCGGATGTGGTTTCAGCAGATAAGGTACAGTGCAGCCACCATGGTCGCCACTGGCCTGGGGAGCCCAGGCCTGAGGGCTGTCTGTGTGATGGGGTTTGTTGTTCTGTGTGCAGTGTTATCTATCTGGTTAATACTGAGTGTGCAGCTGAAGTCAGGATAGGCTCTGCCTCCTCACTGTGTGCCATGTGATGCCCCCGGGGCTCAGGTGGCAGGGGGCAGGTGGGCGGGGGCACAGCCACACAGCTGGGTCAGCAGACCCTGGCCTGGGCCTCGGAAACCGTGCTTCGGTTGGTGTGACCCAGCCCAGGGTTCCCAAGCTGCCGATCTGACCCCCACAGAGCCCGAGCAGCTGCCAGCTCGGCAGTGCCTGTCCCTTCTCTGTCGTCCTGGTGGTGCCTGGGGCCCAGGGAAGACCAGCTGAGGAGGACATGTAGCCTGGGTGGCGGGCAGGAGGCACCTCACCTCTCTGGCAGGCTCACTTTCCTGTTGGCATCTTTTCTTTCCTCTGCAGCTGCCAAGATGAATGAACTACTGGAGAAATACAAAGTCTTCAGTGATGGCCCACGCAAACGCACAGGATAGTGGGGGCAGGAAGCCCTCTCCTGAGACTGGCGTGGCTGGGGAGTGATGAGCGTGGCAGCAGAAGCCCTTGCAGCCCCACGTTGTGCTCTCGGCAGCGACCTTTGGCCCCGTTGGGGAGGGAGAGACAGATGGGCAGTTTGATTCAGACACAAAGAAAGCCTGTTTCTAAGCAGGGGCCTCCAGCCTGCTTTCTGCTTCTATAGCTCTGCGTCTGTTTCCTAAGCTGCTCAGGTGACCCAGGTCTGGGCAGGCTGGCTGTGGCCCTCACATCACCGTGGTGGGCCTGGGCTGCACCCTTTTCCCATCGCTTCACTCCTCCCTGCTGCTGCCCGCTGCGTGTGAGCAGAGACCCACCGCTGCCTCCCCCGACTGGCCTCAGGGTCCCGCGCAGGACTCACCCCCCTGCCGCCCTCATGACTGCCCCCGCATCCCTCGCGGGGTACCCATTTCTTCCTCCTCCCTCCCCGGCGCTCAGCTCTGGGTGGGGGAATTCAGCCTGACTGGTTGTCCAGGAAGCTGCTGTCTGGGCTTCCCAGGGTGACCCAGTATCTCTCTGAGCAGTGTGCCTGTCACGGCTGCCTCCCTCCCTCTGAGCACTGGAACAGGCACGACTGGTGGGGCCTCTGCCTCCTTGGGCCCATTGTCCCACCTGCTGCTGCCCGCCCCACCCTGCTCCCTCCTGGCACCGACTCTGCTTCCCAAGGTCCCCGTGTGCCAGATCCCCTGCAGCCCCGTGACTTGAGGCACCTCCAGCCACCACTGAGATGGGAGGCCAGGCACTACCAGCTTTATAGGCCAAGGGACTCCTCTTGGTTACTTCTTGGTGCCCCCAGGAGGGGGCTGGTCCTGCAGTGCACCCATCACCAAGGGCTGGAGTGTCTTGCTCTAGAACGAGGTACTCAGGGTGCCACTGCTCCCTGGACCAGGAAGATCTTGGTGTCCTTTCCCTGGAATGGTGTGGGTAGGGCAGGTCCCCAAGCCTGGGGAATCAGGGGCTGGGCTTCACTCCTCTTGTAGTCCTGGCCCTCCCTGCCCACCCCCTAATGTTGCTCGTCCCTGGCAGGGGAAGCATCAGCTCAGCTCCCAGGCCAGGCCCACCTCCCTTCGCAGCAGCCTCTGCTGGGTACACGGTAGATAGGATGGGTCATGACGTCCTTAAAGCAGATAGCATCTCCCCCTTTCGGTGGGAAGTCAGCCTGCAAGGTGTGTGAGGAGGCTGCCCCAAGGCTGCCACATCCCTAGGTTTTTGGGGAGCACGGCATGTGTGGGCACCTCGTTCACACTGCAGAGCTCGCTTCATCCCCATGAGAGGCACACAGTCTCCAGTGATGGGAGACTGAGGGCTGGCAGAGGACCTGTTGCCTTTGTGTGACTGGCCCCAGCATGGAGGAGCCACAGCCTGGCTGGGTGGAGGATACGGCCTTCCACACTGCTCCAGCTTCCTGCCTCTGGAGCCTGCATGCAGCCCAGGGCCTGCTCCTAATCTAAACATGGGGTGTATGTCCCAGTGACTGTGAGCTATCAAGGGGGCGGCGAGGGGGTGGCGAGCCAGCCGGCTGCGCAGGTCCTGTGGCCCCAGGCCTCATTGTTGGCAAACAGGCAGCTGGGGGCGGGCCGTGGCTGCTTATTAAAGGCCGCCTGGAGTAGCCTGTGCAGCGACAGGTGCCCAGAAGCCCAGGAAGCCTGTCAGTGCCTGTCCCAGGTAAGCTGGTGCGGTGGGGTTTGCATGGACAGTCACCCCGGGAGCCTGGGGGCAGGCAGGCAGAGGCCAGCTCGGGGTCAGCACTTGTGCCAGGGACAAGGCCGGGGAGGTGGAGCGTGGGGGAGCTGGGGCACTGCATGGGCTCTTTCAGGACGCTGCTTGCCTGCTCCCTGGCGGCTGCTTCCAGAGCTGGAGACCCATCATTGCTATGCCCTAGGTTCCCTGCCAAAGTGTCCCTGGGCTGCAGCTGCCTCTCCCAATCCCTGCTGGGGACTGGCTGGGGGCAGGCAGTAGAGTGCTCTGAGGTCTGCTTTTTTTTTTTTTCAGTAGGTGGCAAGAGTGGGGCTGATGCTCCCAGAGCCAAAGGTCACAGGTGCTGGGGTCGGGGGTGGCAGGAAGTAAGCCCCAGAGGGCTCGGAGCTTTGGCTAGGGAGGGTGGTACGCAGCAGAGCCCCACTCACCTCAGGGTTTGTGCCTCTTGCGCTGGCAGTTTGAGACCTTGCTATCCCCATAGGAACATCACCATGTCAGAGGCACCCCGGGCCGAGACCTTTGTTTTCCTGGACCTGGAAGCCACTGGGCTCCCCAGTGTGGAGCCTGAGATTGCCGAGCTGTCTCTCTTTGCTGTCCACCGCTCCTCCCTGGAGAACCCGGAGCGTGATGAGTCTGGTGCCCCAGTACTGCCTCGGGTCCTTGACAAGCTCACGTTGTGCATGTGTCCAGAGCGCCCCTTCACTGCCAAGGCCAGCGAGATCACTGGCCTGAGCAGCGAGGGCCTGGTGCAGTGCCGGAAGGCTGGCTTCGATGGCGCCGTGGTTCGGACACTGCAGGCCTTCCTGAGCCGCCAGGCAGGTCCTATCTGCCTTGTGGCCCACAATGGCTTTGATTACGACTTCCCCCTGCTGTGTGCTGAACTGCGGCGCCTGGGTGCCCACCTCCCCCGGGACACTGTCTGCCTGGACACACTGCCAGCCCTGCGGGGCCTGGACCGCACCCACAGCCATGGCACCCGGGCCCGGGGCCGCCAGGGTTACAGCCTGGGCAGCCTCTTCCACCGCTACTTCCAGGCTGAGCCGAGTGCGGCGCACTCAGCTGAGGGTGACGTGCACACCCTGCTCCTGATCTTCCTGCACCGCGCCACAGAGCTGCTCACCTGGGCAGATGAGCAGGCCCGCCGGTGGACCCACGTTGAGCCTATGTACTCGTTGCCCAATGACCCCAGCCTGGAGGCCTAAGCACCAGGGCCACTCCCTGTGCCTAGGGCAGTGCCAGTGTCCACTGTTCAGCCAGCCCCTACCACCCCCGGCTCCTTCTATCTGGGCAGCCCCAGGTCTGTGCACCTGCGAGGCCTTCCCTGGCTGCCTGACCAGCCACACAGCCCCGGAGTCCTCTCTAGGCCCTGCCTCTGGGGCTGTGCTCTCCCAGCCAGCCTTCGTGCCCAGCAGAGTTTGCTGTTTCTCAATAAACATTGCCAACTACTTACCCTCTTGACTCGATGGCCAGATACTCGGGGCTGGACTCTCCCAACCCCCTGCTGAGAGGTGCCAGGCGGGAAGCCATGCCAGGGGCCAGCACAAGACCTCCAGGACCGCCCCACTATGGCCTCTCCGCACAGTGAGGTCCGTGGGTAGCTGGGTGGGAGATGTCAGGGCTCTTGGGCTGTCTGAGGGGCTGATGGGTTGTGGCCGTGGGCCCTGAGTGCTGGCTCTCTGCACTGTCGCCCCAGAGGCCCAAAGAAGCCATGAATAGGGCCTTAAGCCCGCAGAGCCAGCCAGCTGCTGGGTGCAAAGCCCAGCTGAAGCATTAGCCCGCTGTGGGACCTCGAGTCTCTCCCTGCTCTGTGAAGTGGTAACAGGGTGAAATGCTAAGAAACTGGGTGCTGGGGAAAAGGGAGGTGCCCCCACATGTGGGTCTGCACATGTACAGGCTGAAGGCTCTGGCTCTGAGGGGGCGTAGAGAAGGGGTGGGTGGCTGGCGCTGTGAGGGTGACACTAGAAGGAGCCTATCCTGCACCATGAGTCTCCTCTAGGGCCAGGAGGCCGCTTGGTGGGAGGGCAGCTTCTGGCCACCACGCTGCACTTCAGGTTCCCTGCTAACCTGTCCCAGGGGCCCCACCCTGAGGCACTCCCAATCTTGTGGGGAGTCCTCATGGGTGGGGAGAGACCTGTCACCAATGCTGGGGCAGGTAAGAAGGGGTGGGGTGGCCACACCTGAGAGTGACTCACATGAGCAAAGCCGGAGCCTCCAGCTAGCCGGGCCATCCAGGACGCCCTAAGTAGGTCAGAATGACTGGAGCCACTGCAGTTTGCACGGTGGTAGGTTGGTGAGGCCAGAGCACAGGTGGCCACCTCGGTCCTTCCACCTGGGCCAGACCTGATCCTGAGGGCAGTGGGGAGCCACGGAGGGTCTGAGCAAGAGAGGGCGAAGTCTGTGTGCGGAGCTGTTCTCCTGTTGCTGTGAAGTACCTGAGGCCAGGTCATTTACAAAGACAGCAGGTTTATTTTGGCTCAAAGGCGCCAGCATCTGATACTGGTGGGGCCTCAGGAAGCTTCCACTTAAGACAGAAGGCAAACGGCAAGCCAGAGAGAGGCAGGGCAGTGCCATACTCTTTAATCACCAGATCTTGAGTGAACTCAGAGTGAGAATTCACTCCCTGCGGAGGTGAGGAGGGCGCCAAGCCATTCATGAGGGATCCAACCCCATGACCCAAACTCCTCCCACCAAGGCCCCACCTCCAACACTGGGGGGCTCATTTCAACCTGAGATTTGGAGGGGACAGACGTCCAAATCACATCAGGCTGCTGCATGGAGAACGGGCCGGAGAGGAGAGCAATGCAAGACGGGCAGAAGCAGAGCGTGGGGGCCTTTGGCGGACGAGGGGAGAGCCATGGGCCTGGCCAAGGACAGTGGCAGTGGGGGAGGGGAGTGGCACTGTCTGGGGAAGCCCCACAGGGACTAGTTTGGGAAAGTGGTTAGTAACCAGAAGATCTTGTTACAGCCAAGCTTCCAGAGGAGAGCATCACCTGGGAGAGTGTCACAAAGCCTGGGCTGGCCCCACAGGAGCTGGAGTAGGGCACATTAAACCTTCAGATCCCATGGTGCCCAGATAGGGCCTGCTTCCCTTTATCTGACTGGCCAGGTTCCAGCTGGGCAGCTGGAACCAGCAGGTGGCACCCTTAAAATCCTGGCCTTGGTTGGGCGTGGTGGCTCACGCCTATAATCCCAGCACTTTGGGGGGCCGAGGCAGATGGATCGCTTGAATCCAGGAGTTTGAGACAGACCTGAGCAACATAGCAAGATCCTGTCTCTACAAAAATTAAAAAGAAAAATTAGGAGTGCAAGCACACATCTGTAGTCCCAGCTACTCAGGAAGTTGAGGGCCGGGGGATCATTTGAGCTTGGGAAGTTGAGGCTGCAGTGAGCCCTGATGGCACCACTGTACTCCAGCCTGGGCGACAGAGTGAGACCCT